TTATGACAGGAAGCAGAGTGGCTATGGTGGGCAGACTAAGCCGATTTTCCGGAAAAAGGTTAGTGATAACTACCATTTGACATGTTTCTCACTTGTGGTAAGGATCTTGAGTTTGACGTCTCTAGTCCACGCACTTCACGGTATAGGTATAGTGTTCATCTCAGTGAGGTTACTGCAATTTCCTGCGCTGACAGATCTAGTGGAGCTGGGAGTGCAACCCAGGTCTGACTTTAGTCTACAATACTGGACCATTTCAGTGTTTTAAAGTTATCCTTCCTTTCTGAAAAGGGAAAATCAAGGAATGTGTCCTGCTTTCCTAAGAACTGAAGTGTGTGTACACTGGTAAATCCTTTCATTTGCCTTGTTCCTTATTTGTCATCCTGTCTGACTCCTCAGCTCTTGGTTGAAGTAAGAATTATTCTGTTATTTTGCTTCTCAGCACAGAAGCCTGCAGTCAGTCTGCTGCTTATCTCATGAAGTTTTAAAACTCTTTAGAATAGCTATTTAGGCCTTCCACTGGCCTCCTGAATTCTTTTTATTATTCTCAAGCTGAATGAATTTCTGTCCCACCCTAGGTGATTTGGCTAGCACTTAAAGTAATTAGCACTGTGCTTGGAACATAGCATTCCCTCCAGCACAGCATTTCTTTTGGCACTTTGCTCCTCATCCAGCCTGGTTCCAGAAAGTCTTAAGGAATGACTTCAGTGTTCATTTGGGTGTTATTAAATGGTTTGATCTCAGGGTGGTAAAAGGAATGCTTGGGTACCTTTTCACATTTGGGTAACTTGTGTTTGGGGAGATTCTAACTAGGTTTTGGCTTTTTGAGAACTATAAACTAGCAGTAGCAGAACTTTGACTAAAGGGGCAGGCTTAAGAACTTGAGTATTAGGAGTGTAGCTTGAGTTAATTCAGCTGAATGCACAAAAACTCTAGACATAACTATAGGTAGTCTTAGAACTGACAGTAGATTTTAGTAATAATTAGCACTATTTAATTGTGAAAGTTTATTTTGTGTTGATTTCATAGATGCATGGAGTTGGTTGACCCACTTTTGATTGTGTGAAATACCTAAGAGCTATGCAGAGCTTTTCAAAGGCCACAATTTCAAGGTGGCGTGATGAGTGCATATTTGATAGGAAGCTCTCTAGGATGTTTGATCTGAGTGGAGATTGGATTACCTGCCACCTTTTCTATTAATACACGTTCTCTTAAATTCACTGATTTGTAGGTCATTTTCTCCTATAGCTGAAGACCAATTGTGACAACTATCATTTGCAAAGCTTTGCTTTAAGTAGTACGTCTGTATTTTTGAAGAAAGTGGTTTTCTGTGATTTATGAAGGGTTTGACTTAATTTTTTTCTAGGCTAAAACTACGAAGAAGATTGTGCTGAGGCTTGAGTGTGTTGAGCCTAACTGCAGATCTAAGAGAATGCTGGCTATTAAGAGATGCAAGCATTTTGAACTGGGAGGAGATAAGAAGAGAAAGGTAATATAATTATGGGTAGAAGATACAATCTTTCCTATGTGGCTTAATTATATTTGGAAAGGCGAACATTTTTTCTGCCTGCTCATTTTATTGTGGCATAGTGATCAGGGGTAGTCCTCTCAAAAAATAACTAGATCCATAAATGAGGGTGTAAGGTATTTGGTATTGGTTTTGCTTTAAGTATGAAAGGAAGAATTAAGAGACTATAAATATAGCATTATGATCTCTTTAGGAATAGATAATGTTTTTGATGGAGCAGAGCTTCACAAAATACATAACGTTTTTTTTTTCTGTTCTATTACAGGGCCAAGTGATCCAATTCTAAGCTTCATCATTTGTTTTATTGTGAAGACGATAAAGTCTTGAGGTTATGTTCACTTCATTTGGTTACAATTGGTCTTTTGGGAGGGAATAAACTAGAGCCATCAATAAAATTTCCCTTGGGACATTTATGCATCATGGTTCTTCTGGGTACTACTTGTTTGGGATTGAATCTGACTGGTTGAGCTCCCATCAAATGTAATTATCTAATTTGGCATTTTAATTGCTTGGGGCTTCAGGAGATCCCATTTGCTGTTAAAAAGCAAAGGCTAGTGGTTTTCGTGTTACACAAATAGAGACTAATGGGGGGAAGTCAGTAACATCCATAGTGGATATAAGGTTTACTGAGAGTTAATCTCTCACATACCTTTGGTACTTATGTCATTTAATAGGGAATTTTGGCCCTGTTATCTAGGCACAGTACACTATAATATGTATTGTCTTCAGACTGACCCCATTATTATCCTTAAATGTTGAGACATGTCCCCTGACATTTTAAAGTAGAGACAAAGTTATTTATCATGTTGAAATAACTGCAAAGACTGATTTCTGGTGTATTGAACTCCCCAGTGGAATCTTAACTGGTGGGATATTCTATCTTTGTTTTGGTGGCTGGCCAGTACAAGGATCAAACCTTGGACCTTGGTGTTATCAGCACCAATATCCATTTTTTTTTTAAAAATGCCTCTTAACTGTTGCAAATTATACATCTTTTCTTTGCCCCTTACACTTCAGTCTTATTGATGTTCAGCTCTTTGTAGTTCTGTAGCAAAACTGTATGGTGAAACAAATACGCTACTTGTATTTTTTTTATTTAAAATTTTGATTGTACATATTTGTGGAGTACGATGGATTGTTCCAGTACATGCATATATTGTACCATGATTCACTTAGATAGCATATCCATCCCCTGAACATTTTTTTCTTTGTAGTGATTACAATCAAGATCCTCTTGTCTATTTCAAAATATACAATATAATATTATTAGCTCTAGTCAGCCTGGAACACCAGAACTTATTCTTCCTGTCTACCTAGAACTTTGTACCCATTAACCCACCACTTCCCCTTCCTTTCCCAGCTTCTGGTAACTTATTAAACTCTACTTTTATAAGAACCATTTTTTTATTGTGGTAAAATATATGTTAACGTAAGGTTTGCCATTTTAACCATTCAAACATACAAGTCCGTGGAATTACATTCACAAAGCTGTGTGACCACCTCTATTTCCAAAACTTTTTCATCATCCTAAACATAAACTGTACCCATTAAGCAATAACTTCTTGTTATTACCCCCATTTTCTGGTAACCTGTTTCTGAAATTATTCTTTTGATTTTTAAATTCACCCATGATAAATGTATATATGTAGTACAGGATATTTGGGTACATTTATACAGTGTGCAATAATCATATCAGTAATTAGTATATCCATCACCTCAAACATGTCACATCTTTATGTTAGGAACATGCAAAATCATCTCTACCTACTTGAAGTTATATACAATTTTGTTTCCATTGACCACCCTCTCCCCATCCCTTCCTCCCTCCCCCTCCCCTCACCAGTCTCTAGTAGCCACTATTCTATTCTCTGCTTTCATGACATCAACTATTTTAGCTTCCACATGAATGAGAACATGGGGTATTTCTGTGCCTGACTTATTTCATTTAACAATTTTCTCCAGACTCATCCATGTTGCTGCAAATGGCAGAATCTCTTTTTTTTTTTATGGCTGAGTATTACATTGTATAATGCTCCATTGTGTATATATACCATGTTTTCTTTATCCAGTCATCTGTTGATGGACATTGAGATCAGTTCCATTTTGGCTATTGTGAATAGAGCCGAGATGAACATGGGAGTGCAAGTATCCCTTTGACAGGATTTCCATTCCTTTGGATATATATTCCAGTAATGAGATTGCTGGATCATCTGGCAGATCTATTTGTACTTCTTTGAGAAACCTCCATACTGTTTTCCATAATAGGTGCACTCATTTACATTCCCACCAACCACATTTTAATAACTGGAAGTGCATCTCAATAAAGTGGAGCAGTTTTCTTCCAAATTAGTTTGTGTCCGTGGATGAGTAAGTCTGTTTAACAATTTCATTCCAGTTTTTATCAACTGACAATATTAGTCCTCCAATTTTAGTTAAAATAATTGGTAAGTATCTGACAGGCAAAAGAATTATTCCAACATGCACTTTGTGTTTGGAGTGGATCTTTTGGTACTGTTGGGCATTTAGGATGGGTTAAGTGCCTACCTTTATGTTTTTGCTTGTGTGGGAAAAGGGTAATTGTAAAAGAAAGGTGGTAAAGGAGCAGGCTTGAAGCCTTGACTATAGGTTTGTTCTCAGGCAAACTAATTGTAGGAAAAGTAGGGAATTAGAATGTGCAAATTCCTCTGAAAATATCCATGCCCGCATACCCCAGTTTAAATATAGCTGCTTTCACAGGACCCCACGAGATAAGGCAATTCATCTTAAAGGGGTGTGGGGGTCTCCAGAACAGACATATACAGGCTCATCTTGCATCTTAGGTCATAATGTATCTAGTTATTCTTAGTGAAAATAAGTCATCTGCATTTGTTGGATCTAGATTACAAACAACCTGGGAATTTGAGTTTATCAAGGTTATTCCTGCATGGCTATTTCCTGTCCAACTGAGGAGGTAGATTTCATTTTCCCTTTGCACTTAAGATTGTAAGCAGCACCATCCAATTACCTCAATAGGCAGCGGTGTAGTGTTTTAAGAGCTTGGGTTTAAATCCTGGCTCTGCAGTTTACAGTGTATAAACACCTGCCTCAGGGCTGTGGAAATGAATGAATCAATTCTATCAATTTCTTAGTAGTTAAATTAGTTTCAAAGCCTTTCCCCAAACTGTTCTCTTTAGAGTACCTTTAGAAGTATTTTTTTTTTAAGTTTACAACTTGTAATTTTACTCATGGAAATAGAGCTTTTTAAGTGGGAATGGAGGAAAAAGTGGACAGGAAGTGGAGTGGTCACTTTGGCAATTTTTTTTTGTCTTTTTCATGACTGGTAAGGGGATCGCAACGCTTGGTGTGGTGTCGCCCGCACTGCACTCAGCCAGTGAGCGCACCGGCCATTCCTATATAGGATTCGAACCCGCGGCGTTGCTGCGCTCCCAGCGCCGCACTCTCCCGAGTGCACCACGGGGTCGGCCCACTTTGGCAAATTTTAAAGTAAGAGTTTTGATGTACGCTGGCTTGTTCTTTCTAGCCGAAGCAAAACAGTACCTGTGGGATTTATCCAAGTTTTTAAGTTTGAATCCCATTCATAGAACCCAAGCTCCTTTTTCTCAGGGAGGAGCTGTATGATGAGGCAGGCAGGATTACAGGCCACTCCTCGACCCAGGGGAGCAACTGAGATGGTGTAAGAGCGAGGTCCACCAATCTCCTGCAGGTTTATCATAGCTACAACCCAGGCTAAGTCTGAGAGAGGTCGTTCCCACACTTCAATGTTGTCTTCCTGAAAATCCAAGAAAATAGATGTGATTGCTTGGTAACTAGCAATAGGCCGTCTTGTTTTTTTGCCATTCCGTCGTACTGTTAGAACTATAAAGCACTTATAGGAAACACTAAAATTATCCTGTAGCATATTTTGGAAATAATGGTTCCAGCAAACAGCTTTTTACTGGTTATAATATCAAGATCAAGGGAAAAAAACAAATGTTCTTAAAAGAATAGTGTATATACTCATATGTAACAGATTTAGGCCCAAGACAAACTTGGTATTGGGTAAAAAGCCATCTTAAAATACACATCCCGAATTAACATTTGGCTGAATTGTAAAATAGAGAAGGCAGGAGGACATGTTGTGGCTGATTCCTATTTTCTCCCATAGAGCGTTATTTACTATACCTTTCTAAGCTGGTACCCCTGCTTGCCCAAGGGGTCCTGGTTGATGGCAATTACATCCTTATTCTGAAGTAGAGCTTTGGCTTGAGGGCTGATGTGTCTGAGGTCGTTAGACATGAGTAAAGGAGCTGCCATGATAGCCCAGAGGGCCATCTGAGTTATTTGCTGATCCCAGCTGAGACCAAAGTTGCCAATCACTAACTGGGACAAAGAATGAAATAAGAATTCAAATAAGAGTAGATAAAACATTTTTAAAGTTACCTAGATGACCCATAGAAAGAAGCCACTTTCCACAGCACTGTGCTCTTAAGTACTCTCACATAAAGCCTCCTCCCAGGAACTTTACCTCTATTTCCCTTGAATGTCATATAGGAAATAGGCATACTGCAGGATCTTGAACAAGGAGGGCTCAGGTTCTTACCATATCTGGGTCATTCCAACCCCCTGGTCCAGCGACATCAACAATTCCCTTCTGGTGAGAAGATGTCCAGTCCAAGATACTCTTTACACTTTGCCAGGAATCGAAAATGTCCCCAAAATTTCTCCAGTGATTGCAGTACTGTCGGATTTCTGTGTAATCAGGCTGTGAAACAGAGAGATGACTCTTCTGTTTACTTTCTAACTAACATACTTGTGAGATGAAAATAGTCAAGTTTAAAGGAGGCACTTTGGGCCGGCCCGTGGCTCACTCGGGAGAATGCGGTGCTGATAACACCAAGGCCATGGGTTCGGATCCCATATAGGGATGGCCGGTTAGCTCACTGGCTGAGTGTGGAGCTGACAACACCAAGTCAAGGGTTAAGATCCCCTTACCAGTCATCTTTAAAGGGCCGGCCTGGTGGCGCACTGCGATAGTGCGCCGCTTGGGAAGCGCAGTGGCGCTCCCGCCGAGGGTTCGGATCCCGCATACAGACCGGATCCCGCATACAGACCGGATCCCGCATACAGACCGGCTCCCGCTCACTGGCTGAGCGAGGTGTGGGGGCAACACCGAGGGTTGCGATCCCGTTGCCGGTCCCAGTCTGGTACGGGCGCGACACTGAGGGTTGCGATCTGTTGCCGGCCACGAAAAAAGACAAAAAGGACAAGAAAAAAAAAATAAAAAAAAATAAAAACAAAGGAGGCAGTTGTAGCCTTCTCTTTAGTTTCCAGATTGAACGTCTCCATGAGGAGATCTAGATCCTTATTATAATGGACTTTAAATGGAAGAAGTTTTTCAGAAACAGACCATATAACTTAAAATCCTTAATACCGTTTATGCTGGAAATTTGCCAAGTGGTAACTAGGTGTTAGGATTATGGAGGATTTTTACTTTCTTAACACTTGACTGTATTTTCAAACTCTTCTAAAATGAACATTTATTACTTTTATAATCAGAAATAGTTAAAATGAGGGCTGGTTGGTTAGCTCAGTTGGTTAGAGCGGTGTTATAACACCAAGGTCATGGGTTGGGATCCCGATATGGGCCAACTGCCAAAAAAAAAAAGAACTAAAATGAACTGAATGAGTAAAAATAAAAGCTGCAAAATTACATAGGTGTCCATCAAATCTATGATAAGAAAATCTGTATCCTAGGCATCTACAGATGGTCCTCGACTTATGTGGTTCAACTTTACGATGGTGAGCAAGTGATAGACATGCAGTAGAAATTGGACTTCAGGTGCCCACACGACCATTCTGTTCTTCACTTTCAGTACGGTATTCAATACATTACATAAGATATTCAACACTGTATCATAAAATAGGCTTCATGTTAGATGATATTGCTTAACTGTAGGCTAATATAAATGTTCTGAGCATGTTTAAGCTAGGCTAAACTAGGATGTTTGGTAGGTTAGGTGTATTAAATACATTTTTGACTTATGGTGTTTTCGACTTATGATGGGTTTATCAGGCTGTAACCCCATTGTAAGTCGAGAAGCATCTGTAATTTGTTAATGGAATGAATACAGGTTTGTAGATAGGCAGCTGGGATATCTGAGGTTTAAGACATTGAGAAAAGGTGAGACTATTTTGTAGAGATTATGAGGAAATAATAGGGATTCATTCCATACATAACTATTCAACACTTACCATATGCTAGGGATTCAGTGATAAAGTCAGACAAGGTCCCTGCCCTCATGGAGCTTACATTCTAGTGGGGAGACAGACAATAAACAAGTGAACAAATACTTCTATATAGTGCTAAGCTCTTAGAAGGAAATTAAACAGGTTAATGAGATAAAGAGCAAAAGGACAGAGGGCTATTTTAAAGTAGTTGGAGAAGACCCATCTCAGAGTGTGGCATTTGGTCTGAGACTTTGATGTTAAGGAGCTGGCCCTTTAAAAATCTTGGGGGAAGATCTTTCCAGGCAGAAAACAAAGAGCAAATATAAAGGCCTTGAGGCAGCAATAGGTTTGCAGTGTTTGAGGGACAGAAAATCAGTGCAGTGAGGGAAAGAGCCATCACTCTGGAGGTAAAGAGGCAGGCAAGAGCCAGATTCTGTTCCAAGTGCAATGGGAAGTCAGCCAAGGGTTTTAAGCAGGGGAGTGATATGATGCCATTTACATTTATAGAGTTATCTTGTAACTGGTGCTGCTTGGAAAATGATGGAAGTGGGGAGAGAGTGGAATTAGGGAGATCAGGCTATCAGAGCAGTCTAGGTGAGAGATGATAGTGGCTTGGAAGGCCAGTGTGGGTACAGTGGAGATGGAAAGAAGTGGGCTGATTCAGGACATATTTTGGAGACAGTACTGGCAGGATTGCTGATGGACAGGACATGAATGGGGACATAAAGGGAAGAATCAAAGATGACTTCCCAGGTGACAGTAGCTTAGACTATAATTACAGCAGTGGAGATGGTGGGGAGTGGTCAGATCCTGGGAGAGATGATAGGATGATACTATTGAGTAAGATTGGACTGTGAAGGACTTTGTCTCCTTTGTTCTCAAGTTCTGAAAATCTATCAGCAAGGCTGTATTGGATTCTGGGTACACTAGCTCACCTTCTGAAAGGGCCACACATAAAGGGGCCACTCACAGGAGTACACAATGCTTCTGCCAGTCCTGTTCAGGGCCATGGACATGTACTTATAACCTGTATGAGAAAACAATGGGTAAAATAAGGGAAGGAAGGGAATTTCCAGCTGTGGCTGTATATTTTAAAAAGAGGCTGCCTGGAAGGTCCATGTTTATATTTTAAACCATCAGCAGAGACAGGTGGTTGTTCTGTGCTTAAATTGTGTATAGTACCACCCAGACGGCTTGGATTTTTCTGAGGAGGTAATGCGGAGATGTTGTGTATATTAAGGAAAGGCAGGGATGAAGATGTTTCTCAGTGACTGTTTTTCCTAAATGATGTTATAGAGAGTTACAATTACTAATTAACTCTTAGAGCTCTCTTGAATTAAAAGTGCACAATATTAGCCATGGTTAGGCATGCATGGATTTTACAAATATGAATGAATGAATGAACAAACTGAAAGAGAAGAGGAGGGAGCTTTGGCACATTGAGAAGAATTATTTCCAGTATTCTGACTGGGTATTTAAAATCTGAAGATTAGTTCTCTAAATGCTCAGCTACTTTGGCCTCAAAATTCTTCCCTTTGCTCATGGCTAAATCTCTTGAATGAAACTTACCATCTGTCAAATGTTCCACACTGTCACAGTAACAACCATCAAATTTTAGTAGATCTACTCCCCAGTCAGCAAAGGTCTGGGCATCAATGTCATAGTATCCAAAACTTCCAGGGAAGCCTGCACAGGTTTTATTTCCAACATCTGCATAAATCCCTAGCTTCAGTCCTTTGTTATGGACCTGAAATGAGAGAAGTCACCACAATAGAATGGCAATCATGATTTAGCAGAAAGAGAGAAACACTCTAGGATGGGATGGGGGCAGAGACAAGTATACTTCACCAGGTATCGGGGGCTTTTAAAAAAACCCCAAAATTATCCAGATGAGTTTGTTGGAAGACAAAGAACAAATCCCCCAATTCTGTTGAACTAGTTCAAACTATACCTGTGAGGTCTAGCACAGAACTGAGGAGAAAGCTATCAACCATTCTGATCTTCCTGATGTGATCCTAAAAGTTACCTTTCCAGGACAATGATAGATTTATCTTGACAAAGACTGTCCTTGACCAAACTTTAGTTAGTCTTGTTTGAGCCTTCCTCTTGAGTTGGCCTCAACTGTGGCCTTCTGAGTCTGTCTTAGTGAGCTCAGTTTTAGCAAGAATCGAAGTCATCCCTCCACCCTTTATACCTTATCAAGTTCCCTCATCCTTGATGTCTAAGCCTGTGGCCCCCTTTAGCAAGAATTTCCCTACCCTTGATGTCTCCTTTTAGTAATTTTCCATCCATTGAATCCCTCAATCTGCTCACTGGCTATAAATCTCCACTTGTCTTTGTTGTATTCAGATTTGAGTTTGGCACTTTCTCCTATTGCAATAGTAGTGAATAAAATTTGTCATCATCACCTTTGACTAGTGTTGGACTCTATTTCTCTTCAACAGTCTCCAGAATATTTTCCTTTTATCTTCTAAAATTCTAGTTTATAATACAATTATAATAGCTAGCCAAAGCTTATATTGAAATGCTTGTACATGCACACATGTCAAGAACAAAGTTCCCTTTTCCTCTTAGTGAGTTCAATGTTTCAGCAAAAGGAGAACTTCTCCAAAATGGGCCTCAAGAGCTATTGCAAAACATGTATCTGCTGATGGGATGAAAATTCCACCCCATAAGTCTTACAATTCAATGTTCATATAACAGCAGCTATTCTACTTTCTAAGCATCATGAAGACTGTTTCCAAATGAGCTTCTGTACGGAAGTGCTTAGAGTCCCCTGAATAAAAAAGAAAAGTATCTATAAACTCACATAATCAGCAAGGCGGCTGATTCCACCAGGAAAACGCTGAGGGTCTGCCTGAAGTCTGCCTTTTGAATCTCTTTGAGGAGCCATCCAACAGTCATCAATGCAGAGGTACTCATAACCTGCATCCTTCCAGCCATCTGAGACCATGAGATCGGCCATCTGCATGAAGAGGTGCTCACTGAAAGAGAAATTCCAATAATCACTACAATTCGTTAAATGAATGCTTAGTTACCTCCTATTTGTTAGGCACCTTGGGATTTCACAGTTGTTTTCAACCCAGTAATAGTGTGGTAGTAATCACAACAAATACAAGGTAAAAAATGAACTGTTCTTCCAATTTTTCTTCTCCCTCACCTACCCCATTAATACTAATGCCCTAAAAACTCCAAACAATTATTATAGAAATGAGAAATACGTGATGAACTTGAAAAGGTTATTAGAACTAAGAAGAAAGTTCAGTAGAGTAAGAAACTACAAAGTTAGCATAACCAACAGCTTCCTTAGGTATCAAAATAACCTATTTGGAGAAAAAGATCTCATTTACAAGAGCAACTGAAAAAGCAACGGGAAAACCTAAAGTACCTAGAGATAAATTTAAAATATGTGCAAGGCCCATATGTTAAAACTATGATGGTCCTAATGATTTGAATAACTACAGAAACATTATTTTGCTCTTGGATAAGAAAACTCAATATTTACTAACTCAATCCTTTATACATTTAATAAAACCCTGAATGAATCCCAAAAGGACTTTTTAAGGAACTGATCCAAAAAGCTCACCTAAAAGATTAAATACTTGTACATTCTATAAAAGACAAAGGAAGCTAGCATAGTTCTATTAGCATTAGAATATCCAGATTACTAAAATTAAAGAGAAAATTCAGAAAGAGATCCAGCCATCTGATACCATGGGACTTAGTATGTATTAACGTGGCATTCCTTATAGGAGAATAAAGTCCAGATGGACTAAAGATTTAAATATTTTTAAAAATCCATAAAAATACTACAGTTGACCCTCGAACAATACGGGTTTGAACTGCACGGGCCCACTCATACGCCAGTTTTTTTCAACCAACCGTGGATTGAAAATACAGTATTTTCGGGATATGGAACCTGCCTATATGGAGGGCAGACTTTTCATATCCAAGGTTCCACAGGGCCAACTGCGCAGGATTTGAGTATCCACGGATTTTGGTACTGGTGGTGGTGGTGGTGATGGGGGTTGGGGTGGGGTGGTGGGTCCTGGGACGAATCCTGCTGTGATACCGAGGGACGACTGTAGTAGAAAATGTAGGTGGCTATATTATCTTCAGGTCTCAGCATGACCCCAAAGCCAGAAATCATGAAAGAGTTGATGTATTTGATTATGTAAATAACAAAACCAGCAAATAGCAAGAACTACTGTACTTGCAACACGACATAGAAAGAGAGAGAAAGAGAGAAAGAAAAAGAGAGTCATTCCAATTGAAATATAAGGAACTAATGCTATGGGGCAATCCATAAAAGACACAACCATGCAAAAAGCCAATTTAACATATAAAAAGATGTTCAACCTTGTTAGTGATCAATGGGGGGAATCTTTATTTTCATTATACTCTTCCTTACTATCTACACTTTTTGCAATGAGCATGCATTAGTTTTACTTTATTTTTGGTGGCTGGCCAGTTTGGGAATCCGAACCCTTGACCTTGGTGTTATCAACACCGTGTGTAGTGGGTTAGAAATCTTGATTCTCCTCTGATCTTAGAATAGGATTTTTAGGTAATGCACGAATGAGCCAAGAGGCTCGAGTAAGGGGACAAGAGTCCACAGATAAATTTGGCAAAAGCCATCTAATCAATTCTAATCACTGTTTAGGGATGGGATTGTGTACTTTGACTGTTTTAGGTTGCTGGTTTGATTCCAGCTTGAATGACTATTGATTATTTAACCTACTGATTGTTCTCAAGACATGTTAAGGAAACTGCTTAAATGCTGTTTAAACATGCTAAGGAAATTGCCATAGGAAGTATGTGAAAAAGAAAATGTTTACTAAGGACAAGCTGTTTGTTGGTGAATTAACCTAGCTTTTTACAAATTACATTCTGGAATGTCACATTGTTAATTTACTGCTGTTACAAGTTTTACACTGCCTGTTTTTATGTCATTCTTTGATGATTCAATCAACTGATTTTTCTTGTCTTGTCAATAAAAAGAAAGGCTGATTTTGAATTGGGGCTGCTCCCCTGACGGGTGGCAGTCCCTTCAGGGGCTGGCTGCTCCCCTGATGGGCGGCAGTCCCTCCAGGCCTCATTGATGGTACTTTGAGTGAATTCTTTCTTTCTCTTTTTTCCGTCTTGGTCACACAGAGGAAAGTGTAACAACCGTGTTCTAACTAACTGAGCTAACCAGCCAGCCCCCATGTGTTAGTTTTATAATCAGATACAAATACAAGCCAACCACCACTTAAAAAAAAAAAAGGAAAAAACAAAAAGAAATCCGTGATGGGCACAATTGCCACACATTGTACCCCAGGGTTGCAATGGACTTAGTCTGAAACTTAGAAGGCCAATTTCTTCTGTGATGTCTGACCAACATCCTGACTTTATCTGTAAAGACATTCACAGGAATAACTTATGGACAGAGATGTACTGTGACCACTGCCTTTAGAGGGGCCTCTGCACCATGGGTGATGTATTAGGGTTCTCCAGAGAGACAGAACCTGACCTTATGTTTTTAAAAATACGTATCAGTGATTCTTAACCTTTTCTAAATCATAGATCCCTTTGAGAATCTGAAGAAAGGTAAAGATACTTTCTTCAGAAAAATACACATACTCACATTTGCAGATTTACATTAATTTCCCCATGGATTCCAGGTTAAGAACATTTGTTCTATTGGTATATTGCCTAGTCGAGGGGCCAGGCACTGTGCTACGCCTTTAAATGGGTTATTTCATTGAAAACTCACCTGTGTGAGATAAAAAACTCTTTTACAGATCTTTCTGAGTCAGCTTCTGGAGGTAGAAATGTTGTTATATAAATTTACAGATAAGGATTGTGAGAATCAGATAAATACAATACCTGCTTAATCAAGCCTCAACCTTCACCTCTCAAGTGTAGAAGTTCTTCCAGGTCAACCTTCTAGAGGAGGCCACACTCAAGGGCGAGAGGGTGGGGAAAATCTCAGAGATCCCATGGTGTCCCTAACTCCGTGGAGTTACAGTTAAGGAACCCGTGACCCAAAATGGAGAAGAAATGGCACGAGTCTTAGTCCCCGTCCCTCGTACCCACCCCAGCTGTGCTTACAGTTAGCACGCGGCAGAGGCAGAGCAGAAGCTGAAAAGAAAGGTCTGAATGGAACCGGATGGTAAATGAAGAAAGCCCCTAGCTGGGTGACCGGGCATGGAGAGAGGAAAAGAGGAAGAGAGGGAGAGAGAGAAGCAAGGTCGTACACCAACATTTTAACCATGATTATTTCTGAGTAGTGGAATGGGGGAAATCTTTATTTTCATTATACTTTACTATCTACATTTTTTTCCGATGACCGCTGGCCGGACTCCCAACCCAGAAGGGATTACACGGAGAAAGTTTAGGGCTAGTCCCGATGCGCGACAGTTTGCTGGGGATAAAAAGCAGCAGCAGTAGGGGAGCTCTCCACTCAGGCTCAAATGCTGTCGTTGGGACCCTCCATTCCCCCAAACACACCCAGACAAACACACGGAAAAGCGAAGGGAAGAGGGCACCCGATATCTGATACCTGATGCAGGAATCCGGCTCTTCCTGGCAGTTAAGGTTGCACATGAAGCGCTCCCAGTGCAGCCAGCCCATGGTAGGCGTCATCGCCAAGCCGTTGTCCAGTGCTTTGGCCCCATGGACGGCCCACAGAACCAGGGCCAGGAAGCGGAGAGCAAGCAAGCAGCCCAGCAGCTGACTTCTGCTCCTCAGATTCATTGTCACGGTGATCACACAGTACAGATTTCCGCGGGTAACCTGGGCTTTTAAGTTTAACCTTAGGGGTGGACCAATCATCGATGAGTTATTAAATAATGACGTTATTGTTTCTCAGGCAACTGAGATGATTGTCCCTTGAGACTGACCAATGATCAGTCACATAGAACATACGCCAACCAATCGCACTCTTCCTTTCTTGATATTGGCCCGCCCCTACCAGAAGAAAGTGCGGCACCTCAGTGATCCCGAGTTTAAGCCCGAGAGTTGCTCACGTGACCGAGATCTCACATGACGTAGGTGCTCACGTGATCCATCGCTTACGTGAGCAGAAGTAGTTCTGGTCGTCGTCTACCGTCTCGCTATAGCCGTTTGAGGGAAGAAGGAGGAAAATTGTCCGGTATCGCTAGAGGTTGGTGTGTGGGTGGGAACTGGGGACCGGGGGTGGTGATGATGAAGACCAAAGCGGGGTCCGGGGGCCGCCTCCGTCTTTTTCGTTCTCTGCTTTCCCCTCCCCCCGCTCTCCCTCCCTCCTCCCCCCATCTCAGTGCCGGGAAGCCGCCGTTGCTGCGCCTGGTGGGGAAATGGTGGACGCTCATGACTGTGTATGTGTTTTTGTGTATCGGTCTGTCTGGAGCGGCCTCAGGGGACCTCTAAGAGGGATCGCAAGGTGAAAAACGGTCGAAAACCACGGCCTTGAATTAGGAAAAACAGATATTGAGACTAGTGGTCTGAGTTCTGGTCCATCCATTCAGGCTCCTCTGCCTTATTGTTCGTCCGTCTGTAGGGGCAGGCCCCATGTGACTTAAATCGGTTGGGCCACGTTTAAGCAAATGCTGCGTGCCTGACAAAGGCGCCCAAAAATGATTTTACTGAATTGAGTATTTGAATAATGTTTATTTTTCTGTTTATAACAACGATCTACGTGTTCAATTTCGAACATTTGAAAAATAACCGTATACTATAAATTTTAGAAATACGTGTAATTCACTACCCGAAGGTAACTACTCACTCAAGCTGACGTCATTACAGTTTTAAAAAAGTATGTGTATAACATATATATAAATTCACAAATTCTTAACTTAACTAATGAAATCCTGGTTCCTACTTCAGGCAACAGAATCCTGGTGGCCTTCCCAGGAGATGCAGTTATGAAGCAGAACCTCTCTGTTAAGGCATAGAGTGCTGCAGGGACGTAAAATGGGACGGGTCATTCCAGGGATAAGGCAGGCAAAAAACCATTCCATAAATCTGTCACTGAGACCTAAGGATGGTTTACATGAAGACTGTTATCACTACAAATGCAGTGCATCGGCCACATAATAGGCAATTTATAAATGTTTGTTGAATCGAATCCTCAGTGTAGTTTTATGGCAGTTATTACACTTTGTACTTTCTTTCCAAGAGGCCCAGTGTTCCCAGATCATCTGAGATAAGCCATCTACATACAAAATTAGAACATTTTGTAAAGTTTGCTGTACCGAATCCCAGAAAAGCAATCATATTTTATTTAATTTGTTTGTGTTACCTTTTTTTGCTGAAGTAAAAGTTATTCTTTCTGTAGCAAATTGGCTGCACAAAAAATTGAAAAAATGAAATGGAAAAAGCTGCAAACCTACCACTTAGAGTAACTGCTATTAACATTTGACTTATTTCCCATGCATATATTTTTTCTAACATTGTTTTTTATTCCAGTACAGTGCATTTAAAGAATTAAAACTATATAAAAGTATATAGGGTAAAAAAGGAAAATCTCACTTCACTCCCCCACCCTTCAGTTGTTCTTTTCTCTAAAACAAGTTTGTGTTAGATGCTCCCAATATTTTTGTGTATTCACGCACATATATATATATATACATGCATGCTTATATTTTAATGTAAGTAGGATCATGCTATATATAGTCTTTAATATATTTTGGAAATCTTTCTAGGTCAGGGCAGATTGATCTTTCTTTTTTTAAATGGCTGCATAGCATTCCATTTTAAGGATAAACTATAATTCATTCAGCCATTCCTCTATTGGTGGCTATTTAGGTTTCTGGTTTTCTGCCGTTACTAACAGTGCTGCAGTGAACATTTGTAAGTATTGCTGTTGACCAGATTCCTAGAAGGAATTCTAACAGGGTCAAAGGATATGTGAACATATATTTTCTGCATAGTTGAGATTATAAAGTAGCTGTGATCTTGGGTCAATTAAGATTATAGCATAAATCATTTCTCATTATTAAATATTTTTATAACTTTTAATTAGATTATAATCTGTTTTTTTAATGAAAGTAATTTTCAAAGAATATATAGCTCCATAAATCTTTCTTTGAATTTCAGATCGTCTTTTTAGGGCACCGAACCTGAAGTGGATTTACTGTCAAAAGGCATAATACATATTACCAAAATGCTTTACAGAAACAGCATATTAATTTTCATTCCTCTACTAGTGTATTAGTTTGTGAACCCTGAATTGCATTGACTTATTGTCACTGTTTAATTTCCACTGTCTTGATGGATGAAAAATGGTGATTAGTTCTGGTTTTAGCTTGTATTTCCAGTGATTGATCAGGTTTGAACATTTCGAAAACTCCTCTCCTGTATCCTCCTATACCTGTATTCCTCCTATATGTACTCTGTTATCAAGCTTAGCAGATTCCACTTTTTTGGTATGTGTAGATCACACCTTTCCTCCCCTTTTTACTGCTGTTGCCTTAGATGAACCCCTTAACATATATCTAAGAGACTGGTTCTGACTAATCTTGCTAGTTTCACCTCAACCCTCTTCTGCTTGAGTGCCACCCTGTTGCCAGGGTGATCTGTCTGAAAGGGTTCTGATGACATCACTCCCCTTACTCATATCAAATAAGGCCTTTAGGACCTGATCTCTCCCTTGCCAACTTTATCTCTTCCTTTGCCCCCTCCTATTTTATGTTCCATCGTAATTTAAAAAAACCATTTATGGATCGCTGAACAGATTAATCTGCTTCGTTTAACCATTCTGCCTCCAACCAATGGAAGTGACCAACTAGTCCCTCCTTTATACTATCCTTACACCCTGCACAGAGTTCTGTTAAAACAAGTATAATGTCTATTTGCACTTACATCTTTAATAAAGATACTCAGTGCCCCTGTAGGACCATAAACCATTTCTGGACTTACTGATTCTTGTATGCAGAGCTGAGTACTTGACCTGGTAACTAAAAAATGTTTGTAAAATTCATGTGTGAATTACCAATAATGTCTTTTTCTCATTTATCTCTTAGGCCTTAATATTTCCCTGATTTTATTGATTCACATGAGTTCTTTATATAATAAGGATATTAATGTATTTGTTTAGGGTATCTTCTCAAGTGTTTTGTCTGTCTTCTAATTCTATTTAATTTTACTTTTGATCTAATGAAGTTTTGCATCTTTATGTAATCATATATAGCCATCTTTTATTTGTTGACATCTTCTACTGATGTTGTTGCTATTAATTTTTAAGGTCTTTTTATTTTCTGACTATGATGTTACCACATGGTCAATGCAGAAAATTTAGAACATACAAAAATGTCCAAAGAAAAATAATCTCCCCAAACAGAACGCTCTTTTAACCATACCATCCAGAAATAACCACCATTAATGATACCTGACACATAATTGCCATTAAGAATAAATAATTGTTGAATGAATGAATAAGTTAAAAATTTCAGTCTTATTGTTTATGTGGATGTCTTACAGAAAAGCTATTGGTGTAATTGAGTTTTGTATTAATAGTTGGCTTTTTTCTCTTACTATATTGTGAATATTTTTCCATGACAGTAGTCTTCTGATTTTTTTTCCAGCCACACTGAAATTGCATTGAGCCAGTCTTGCCACCAAGAGCCCAACAGTCACCATGATGCTGAGCACAGAAGGCAGGGAGGGGTTCGTGGTGAAGGTCAGGGGCCTACCCTGGTCCTGCTCAGCCGATGAAGTGATGCGCTTCTTCTCTGATTGCAAGATCCAAAATGGCACATCAGGTATTCGTTTCATCTATACCAGAGAAGGCAGACCAAGTGGTGAAGCATTTGTGGAACTTGAATCCGAAGATGAAGTGAAATTGGCTTTGAAGAAGGACAGAGAAACCATGGGACACAGATACGTTGAAGTATTCAAGTCCAACAGTGTTGAAATGGATTGGGTGTTGAAGCATACAGGTCCGAATAGTCCTGATACTGCCAACGATGGCTTCGTCCGGCTTAGAGGACTCCCATTTGGCTGTAGCAAGGAAGAGATTGTTCAGTTCTTTTCAGGGTTGGAAATTGTGCCAAATGGGATGACACTGCCAGTGGACTTTCAGGGGCGGAGCACAGGGGAGGCTTTTGTGCAGTTTGCTTCGCAGGAGATAGCTGAAAAGGCCTTAAAGAAACACAAGGAAAGAATAGGGCATAGGTACATTGAAATCTTCAAGAGTAGCCGAGCCGAAGTTCGAACCCACTATGACCCCCCTAGAAAGCTCATGGCTATGCAGCGGCCAGGTCCCTATGATAGGCCAGGGGCTGGCAGAGGATATAATAGCATTGGCAGAGGAGCTGGGTTTGAAAGGATGAGGCGTGGTGCCTATGGTGGAGGGTATGGAGGCTATGATGATTATGGCGGCTATAATGATGGTTATGGCTTTGGGTCTGATAGATTTGGAAGAGACCTCAATTACTGTTTTTCAGGAATGTCTGATCATAGATATGGAGATGGTGGGTCCAGTTTCCAGAGCACCACAGGGCACTGTGTACACATGAGGGGGTTACCTTACAGAGCCACTGAGAATGATATTTATAATTTTTTCTCACCTCTTAACCCCATGAGAGTGCACATTGAAATTGGACCCGATGGCAGAGTTACTGGTGAGGCAGATGTTGAATTTGCTACTCATGAAGATGCTGTGGCAGCTATGGCAAAAGACAAAGCTAATATGCAACACAGATATGTGGAGCTCTTCTTGAATTCTACTGCAGGAACAAGTGGGGGTGCTTATGATCACAGCTATGTAGAACTCTTTTTGAATTCTACAGCAGGGGCAAGCGGTGGTGCTTATGGCAGCCAAATGATGGGAGGGATGGGCTTATCCAACCAGTCTAGTTATGGGGGTCCTGCTAGCCAG